GCGGATCGGGGCTCTCAGCCGCACCCTCGGGGGTGCGGGGCCGGGTGGCACAGGAGCTGCTCCTCGGCGGGCACAAGCCTTCTGGCCGCCCCCCTCCCGCTAACAAAGGGATTTATGCTACAGGAAAAGCTGGGGAGGGACCATTTACGAGGGCATGGAGTGATAGGACCAGGGAGAGGACGGTTTTAAGCTGGCACAGGGGAGATTCAGGTATTAGGAAGAAATTCTTCTCTTTGTGGCTGGTGAGAGCCTGGCCCAGGTTGCCCAGGGAAGCTGTGGCTGCCCCATCCCTGGGGGTGTTGAAGGGCAGGTTGGATGGGGCTTGGAGCAGCCTGGGCTGGTGGGAGGGGGGAAATACATGGTCTTTAAAGGTCCCTTCAAACCCAAACCATTCCATGATTATATGATCCCAGAAAAGCCACTATTAGGATTTGCCAGGGCTGCAAGACACAGGCTGGGCCCAGAGCAACCTCCAGCCACCCCAGCTCTGCCTCAGGTCTGGGGCTCCTTCACCAGCTCTCCCAGAGCCACACCACCAAAGAGCCCAGCAACCACCCAGGGGGCAAAGGGTTCTGCCCCCACTGTCACTCCTGCCTCTAAGCTGGCACCTCAAAACCACCATGGACATGGTGACCAAAGCATGGAGGGATTTGGGTTGGAAGGAACTCTTAAAGGTCATCTAGTCTGTTCTGAAACATGACTGTTTCCCACCAGTTCCAACATGGCACCTGTCAGAAAAATGTCAGAACATATTTGAGGTGCAGGAGGAATTAAGGGGTTTCCAAAGGCTCAGGGCTCCCACTCAGCACAACCAGGGAGCTGAGGACAGGGAGGTCACCCTGCCCAGGGCCAGTGCCAGGCAAGGGCAGCTGTGACTGGCAGCTCCAGAGGAGCCCCCGGGAACACCCTCCCTGTGCCCAAGCCCCGTGTGCCCTACTGGCTGAGCTGGGTCCACGTTCCATCCTCTGCCACCTGATTGCCAGAGGATCCGTTCCCTGGGGACACTTTCTTGGCTCCCTGTGCCTCTCCAACACATCAAAGTGTTTCTTGGCTCAGGGGAGAAACTGTGCAGAAATAACGTGTTTCTGTCTGAGCAGAGGCTGAGCACCAGCCCCCCCAGCCAGCTGGGACACACACTGATGCCATTTCCTTCTCAGCACCCGCAGAGTCATTCCCACCTTTTACTTTCCATCGGGAAAGCAGAAGCCTCTCAAACTGGCTTGTTTTCAGCAGCACTGATGCAGTGAGCAGGGCAGGCAGCAGGAGGGCGGTTATTGGGAAAAGCCAACACCCGCGGGGAGAGCAGGGGAAGAGCAGCGCTGAGCGGCAGCAGCACCAGCCCTGCAGGCGCTTCCCGCGCAGTGGGAGGAGGAAAGGAACAGAGAAACGCCCGCAGGGAAACACGCTCAGAGCCCGCCCGGACACCGACACCTCCGGTGCTCGACCCCCGGGGTGACCCGAAGTGAGGTCAGTGACTGTCCCCTGGACACCAACAGGGACCACCCACAGTGGGAAACCAGAGAGCCACCAACATGACAGTGGTCTTAGATATTTATTCCTTTGTGTGTGTGTTTTTAAAGGACAACACAATCATACAGCTTTAAATACAACCTCCAAGCACACTCTGATGAGAGCAGCAACGGTCCAGCATGTGTGCTTGTGTCACCTGCTGGCACCAGCCCAGTCCTGGTGGCACAGACACCTCCTGTTAAAAACAAATACACTTATTTACCGTTTCATAAACCAAGATCCAAAAGCTCCAAAGGAGTGGGTCAGGCAGAGGCACAACAAGCTGAAGCCCACAGGGCTTTGGAATTGCTGCAACTTTTGCCTTGGCCCAGCTCCACCAGGACCAGGGGAGGCCAGAGCACACAGAGGAACAAACAGGAACAGGGACTGATCTGCTGCACTGCACAGCCCAGCCTGAGGCCCCGGCTCATTTCCCCTGCAGCCCCTCAGGGCACTGGCTCCAATAACCCTTTCCTGCCCGTTTCCTTCCCGGCTGGGGCCGGTGGGGGCAGCGCTCACCGAGGTGCTCAGGCAGGAGCAGTAACAGGGACTGTGGTGCCCAAGTCCCCGTCACCTGCTACAAGCCCTGTGGGCGACCCGAGCGCTGGAGGGGCCACACGGTGAAGACAAACATCACTGAGCCCCACATCCTCCAGCAGGGAAACACACACACTCCATCCTCCCCCCTCAGAGCAGGCAGTCCTGCCAAGCCCCTGCAGCCCCCTGCCTGCCACAGCCCAGGCTGCTGTCCCCTCCTGCCAGGCCCTCCCCTGCACTGGCACCACCCACTGCTGTGCCCTGGGGACCCGGGACACTCCCAGGAGCACGTTTCTGCTTACCCAGCTTTCAAGAAACGTTTTTTATTCATAAACATCCTTCTTATCTGCGATGTAATCTACTATCTCTTGTGGACACATTAACTTTTCTGCATCTCCATCAGGAATTTCGAATCCTGGAAGAAAGTGCACAGATTTAGACCAAAACAATGGAAACAGGAGCAAGGCCACAGGAAGGAATTGCTGCTGGCTGGGCTGCTGCAGCTGGGAGGGCACTGCTGGGAACAGCAGCTCAGCCTCAGCAACAGCAGCACCGTGTCACTGTGCCCAGGGACCAGCTGTGCTGCTGCTCCTGGGCAAGTGACACAGGGGATGGAGCTGGCCAGTGCCCATCACACCTCACTGAAGTCACCAACACCTTCCCAGAGCCCCCACAGCCACCGTGGTGCAGCTGGAGGGATGATCTGGAGCTCCAGGGCCTGAAGGCCCTCGGGTGCAGAGCTGGGCACTCACACAGCCCACAGCTCGTGCACAGCTGGGAACAGGGGGGCTCCCGGTGGTGAAGCTGCTCAGAAACACTCCAGAACATCTACATTCTTCTTTCCAGCCCTTGTGGCCACACACTAACACTCCACCCACTAAATACACAGCAGCAGCAGGGGCTCTGAAAGCAAAACATCTGCCCAGGTTTCAGAGAATGGCCAAATTGCAGAGACACTTGTGGCCCAAAGTGACAAATGAGGCACTTCCTCCAGAATTTGAATGCATGGGCAAGTCCAAAATGAAGTAAAAAGAAACTGGGAATATAAAAGAGCAAAGAAAAAACAACCTTCTTTCCCCCAGTAACATCAGGTATTGAGCATGAAAAAACAATCTGGCCAGGAAAACCCTGGAGTATCTGCAACCTGACAAGCAGGAGCTGAGCTCAGCTCCAGATGCAGCATGACACCCACTGCCCTCCCTCACACACTGCCACCCCATCTGTCCCTCCCCAGCGTGGTGCCCGGGGGCTGGGGGAGGAGCACAAAGGAGACAGCCAGACCCCAGCTCCTGGCTCCCACCAGTGCCCTCAGCACTTCCTCTCACTGAGCCAGAACTCCACGATTTTCTTTGAATTACATCAGAAAAAAAAGCCAAAGCTGCTGCTGCCAGAAAAGACCCAATGCTCATTTGGTACCACCACGCCCCAGGGCGGCCCCGAGAACGGCAGCAGTGACCCCCAGGACGCACAGCTCCCAATTACCGAATTCGTCTTCCATGGCCATGATAATTTCCACTTGGTCCAAACTGTCCAAACCCAGGTCTTTCATGAAGTGGGACTCGGCTGTGAGCTGGGGGAGGGAAAGCCAAAGATCACTCGGCTGCGGCCAGGACAGGCAGGTACGACAGAGCCCGTGGCAGGACCGAGCGCTAACCCGGAGCCTCCCGGCCCGCCCGCCCGGCAACCCCCCCGGGCCCGCCCGCCGCCCTCACTCGCCTTCTCG